AGGGGCGAAGGGGCCTGGGACAGCCTCAGCCCCCGGAGGGATAAAGCACCCAGCACAGGGAAATCTGCCTGGACATTCAGCCAGCAAAACTCACCGGTTCTCGTCCCCGGCGGTGTGCCTGGGCTGGGGGTCGGGGTCGTTGCTGTTGAAGTCGTAACTTGCCAGGGGGTCCTATTGCAAAAAGAGGCACCGGTCTGAGCAAACCGCCTTTTGGCGTGGGTTGTGACAGCTCGGCGCAGGCGCCTGGCGCTTCGCCCGGTGTCCGGCGGTGCAGATCGCCCTGCCTGCCCTCGAGCTCGCTGCCTGCCCAGCCCCTTCGCGCCCAGCAACCGCGTGGGGTTAACCTGGAGTTGTTAGGAACAGGGTTTCACTACAGGAGCATAACTTTGGCTGTCACTGTACTGATTCATCATACCCAGGCTCACGTTCATGAGACAGTGCAGCATGGAGAGTCACCCGAGGGTGAGCCTCACCGGCCGTGCAGTTAGGGGCGAGGACTACAAACCACTGAAATGATGTTGTTGTAAACAACTAAGAGTTACCTTTTCTTTGCTCTCAGAGCACGTGAGCGCTTACCAGCTTTACTGGCTTTGCAGCTTGCTGTAATTACATCTATTTTGGGGGCTTGAGTGCGTACAAGTCCTAACGTTTCCTTGATGTGAAAAATTCACTGCGGGAGACGCCAAACCTTTTGATCCAGCCACAGAGAGGCTGAGTTCCCACTGCAAAGTCCCACGGGCGGGACGAAGGCACCAGCTCCCACCCTCCCCTGGAGACAGCGCTCCCTGAAGGAGCGGGCTCCTGCTCAGCCCACGGTAGTTACGTAGTTGGCAGACAGGTCGGGGTGGTCCTTCTCGATCCCATCGTCCAGGACGGTCAGCACCACCCCCAGCCCGGTGTACCCTTTGCTCCAAGCAGCGAGGATGTTTAGATCGGGATTAATGTCGTTGTTCTGGAAAACGGATTAAATGTGATCAGCCCCCGGGCAGCTGGATGCGGGTGACCTTCAAGGACTCTTCTGCTGCCTCATCACTGCCGGCATTAGGCCTGTTTACGCGTCAGGGAGGTGATTTGCTGGAGGATTAGAAGAGAGAGCGGCAAAGTCTCACCATGTACCACTGTTTATGGAACCAGGGATCTGTTGGCACCACGCTGACGCTTCTCTTTGTGCGCCTCTTTACGGTTTGCTGCTCAAACCAGAGGACCTGGGTGGGAAGCAGCGTTGGCGGTGTCGGGCAGAGCCTGCCCCGCGCGGCGCGCGGTAGCCTCGGTCCCTGCAACCGCCTCCTCCCTACCTTTGGCTCTTTTGCCAGGCGCATGTTCCAGCCCCAGTGTCTGCTCAAGGCTTTCTGCCGGGTGCCGCGGTGTTTGAAATGATAATAAGGCTCTCCCTCCATCACCTGCAGGTGCAGAGAGCTGTTTTAAGAGATCGTTTCTAGACACGCAGCCGGGCTGGGGACGCGCGTGGCAGCTCCGCGCGGGCCGCGGAGATCAGGAGGAGGCGTTTAATGGGAGTCGTGCGTGGCAGGACAAGCGGAGCCCGCCGTTCGGCGGGAGAGCAGGCTCCCAGGGAAGGCCTGTGCGTGCCTTCGGGTTTCCTCGCTCGCCCGTGCACACGCAGAGGCCGTTAGCAGCCCGCAACCCTTACGCTTTCATCCGCCGCCGATGGTTTAAAAGCACTAGAGGGAATGACTGAGCGCCCTACGCTAAAGTGAAATCGGTGTCCCGCTGTGGGACGCCCACGGCGGGGACGAGCGGAGGGGGACACCGGGTGGGACGAGGGTGTGTGGAGGGGAGGTGCTGGGCTCGCCCCGGCCCCCGTCGCCCTCCCCGCGGCAGCGTGGTGGCCCACGGGCACCTGGCCCAGGCAGAGCAGGCCGTGCCGGCGGGCCAAACCCCCGGGCTCCCCCGGCCCCGCCGCCACCCGCCCCGCCCCGCCGCCCCCGC